TGTTACTTTAAGGCTGCCTGAGCTTCTTAGCAGCTAATTCTCTGTGTTACATGATTTAACTCATTAAAGAGAGCCCCTTGGGGAGATGGACAGGGCATGGTTATCAGTTATCATTTTGTGCACAGCATCATCCACTCAGTAGCGTTTTATTACTGAGCACCATATTTAAGAAGAGAAAAGTTAAAGTAAGCTATAGAGTAGTAAAGATACAGTAATCCCTACTTTTAAGTGCACTCTGTTGACTTCTGTTCATTCATAAATTTAGAACTCAGAAAACACTGTAGAGATCATTCTCTAAAATTTGTTATAATAATGGATTACTCATTCAATTCCCAACACCCACATGTCAGCTCACAGTCATCTGTAATACCAGGTCCAGGGAATCTCATTCCCTTTGCTGGCCTCCATAGTGCACAAATATACATACAGAACATTCACATGCATAAACTAATAACATAACATTTTTTCAAAGAAAGAACATTGCAAGGAAAAATATCCAATAAATAATTGTTAATTCTGTTCTTAATCAATGCCAGAAGGATTTTCCACCTTTCCTAAGTTTAACTTAAGGTGCATCTTTCTTTTTTTCTGTGGAATTGTAAGAATCCTCATGAGTGTGTTCCATTCACTGGCTCACCTGCCTACCTGTAGAATCCAGCCACTGAGTAATTCTAGCTCACTAACAGAACAGTTTTTATTTTGCATCCATGATACCTACTCACAAGTGCCTCTCTTACTTATTATAAATATAAATTGTGTGTGGTGCATGTTAAAGTTTGTACCATTCATATAATAGTACTGTGACAAAATTTAAAGCAATGAGATATTACAAGAAAAGTTCAAGGCTATAAATAGTCTGAACAAAGAGATAATTCAGCTCCAGGAGCTAAGTTCCCTTACAAGAGACCCCAGCAAGCAAGCATGCTAACACAAAGGGCCGCACAAGTCCCATCTTCACAAGGAACGCGCAGAGCATTGCCAGCATTCTGAATTATTTAAGAAATGTTTTACAAAGTGGATATATTTTCACATTTCTTAGTGAAAACTTGAACACTAACATCTGCTACACCAGTTGTGCTTAATTTTTTCCCTTACATTCTAGAGTTTCACAAACACTTTTTTTCCCTCCGATTTATAGAAAACACAACATGGATGAATCATGTATTCCAATGATGCATTTTGTTATTCTCTTTTCCTTTTTAACTCTTTAAACCTCATCCATTATGCAAAGGGAGATTCACATTTTGAGTTTATATTCCTATAAAACTCTTATTCTTCATGGAGGGTCTCAAGTATTTACTTACAACACACGAATGGGCAATTTCTTGCCAAACAATCCATTCATGTTCACCACAAAAATCTGGGTAAATTTTAAGTTTCTTAGAGTTCTTATCTTGTTGTCTTCTTAAATTTTACATTCTCCACTCACAGAATGCCACACTACTAAGTACATAGCCAGAACGGATTGACAAATGGACATGCGCTAATTATTCTCTCAGCTTCAATTCATTCTTTACATCAACAGTCAGAGAAGCCAGTCAAAGCAATAATGACTTATGTGACTAATGTTTGATAACAGAATAAACGCATCATTAGTGAAATTTTGGGCATGTACAAAAGTTTCTCATTTTAGTAATAATAAAAACGGCATTGTAACGTGGTAGGTGCTGAATGAACACATGTAGACAGCTATATTTTAGGCTGTTTTTGTTTTGTTATAGCACAGAAAGCTAAATGATTCGTAATATTTCTGAAATCTGTATGTTGTTCTGAGGTTTCATTAATTTTGAAGATGAGTAAAACATCTTTTGGGTTTTCTAGAAATCCTGTCTCTTTATAATACTCGATTCAATTATAACTAATTAAATAATTGCAACTCACCAACAAATCAGAAGATACAGCAAGGACTCCTCTTACTGAACAGACTGGAGTTTTCTTACTAATTATTATGTGTTTAAAATAACTAGCACAGTGATCATATTTACCCTGCCTATTGAAATTCAAAAGGCTACTATTAAAATACTCAATTGTGAATCTGAGAGAGAGAAAAGAAGGGGGCAAATGGGACTGGAGGGTAGAAAGGGAATGGGTAGTACGATGCAATTATCCCTTAACTTCTAAAATATTAAAGCAATCAAACAAGAATTCAGCGTTATTGGTGAAGTTTGTACAAACATAAAAGGCAGAATGTTTCAACCTTAAGTTGTGATTAAAATGAAATTGACAGTGATTCAGTTAAAATTATGTTATTACTTTAGTTTCCATTCCAAGCTAATAAAAGTTCACTGTAAATTTATATCAAAGTATATTGTGGTCTAAAAGCACAGTTCTATCAATAAAGGAATTTGCATTTTAAATATAATAATTCATATCATATATAAATATGCATTATTAAAGCTGCCAGAATATTAAATGTGACAATTAATGTATTAATTGCAACATTTACTTGTACAAGTTTTATGTATAAGAATGAACAAGCTTTACAGAGTTCACCAAAGTTCCCAGTTATGTGTTTCCTTAAAACTTCATGAAGGACATGCTTAGTCATATATGCTGCATTATCCAGAACAGATTCAGGCTGAACAACTGCAAGATGTCATAGGCTAAACATGCCCCATAAATATTTTGTCCGAGAATAGCTCCCATTCTTCTTCTATAAATAGCCAGTTTTAATATTTAGCTTTAGCATATACACTCCCACATTTGAGCTAGGACAATTGTCCATATCCAAGTTAGCTGACAATCATAGCACATCATTTATCACTCAGACATTTCACATTTGTATTGAATTTTTTACCCAAATAGGCTTCGGTAGTGAACAAGACCTTGCAAGGCCTTAAATGAAGATCTCTAATCTACCTCTGTCAGCTCTCTTCCTCTATGTTGTTGCATTTCCATTCCTTTATGAAGTACCAGATTTTTTTTCTCTTAAACATGTACATATTTTCAACACCTCTAATTCTAGCCACAAACCAGAGAGAGGTTAAACATTTTCCTATATATTTTCTTGGCCTTAAAATGCCTAAATAATAATAATTCAAAGAGCCAAGGTCATGAGTGGTGGCTTCTGGTTTGTTCTGTCCAAAAAAGTGAGTGTCCTGACACATTACTATGACCCACAGAGGCAAAATGTTGGCTGACTACCTTTCTTTTAGTCTGAACCTGTAAACAAAAAACAAGCTATACCCTTTGATGCTATTGGTTTCCTGCATTCCCCACCTTTAACAAAAAAGGCAAAGCAGGGGTGCCAAGAGGAACTTGTCTAAATTATTCATTTTAAAAACTACGATAATGGTGCAAATGAAAACAACTAGCCCAACATGGCTAGTAAAACGATAAAAAACAAAGAAACATATTTAGACTTGGATTTCGGTGCATAGCTTCTCCATCTGCCAACTAGTTGTGAAAAAAGCCTAGGAAAACCCTACAAACACAAGCAAGTTTCCTGACCTGTCAATGGCTACCACCACTTTAAGGATCTTAGCAGTAATTGTGTTCTGTTTGCAGAGAAACCTACAGAAATTAATTCATCACTGGTAAAAGAAATTCTGGCCAGGAATGGATCCTCTCAACAGGCTTTGAATTTGGTTGGAAACTCGGGATTTTGTTCATAGAGGTAATGCCTGGAAGACTCTTCACATTTGGGCAGAGGATGACAGGAGGATAATCTCTAGAGGCCAATCATCCAAACAGCCCCAAATCTCCTCCCACTTGGTTTAGGGAAAGAGTTAGAATTCGGACCTAGGCTATGGTTGCCCCTCCCTTTATCTTTTCTTGGAGACCACTACCTAAGAAGTTTGCCTCCTTGCTGCAGGAACTGAAGACTCCCTCACCTAGAACCGCACCAGGAGACCGCTCCCTAGTGGAACAGGGCTAAGGGCATAGCCAACAGCACCCCAGACACAAGAGGCAGCCAGGTTGACAAGGAGACCCACCTCCTACACCCTGGCCCTCACTGGGGCCCTGGGCTGCTTAGGCTGCCTGAGTTACACAGCCTCAACCCTACACCTCTCCTCTCCCAATCCAGTTCACCCGGGTGGGGAGGGGCGAAGTAGAGAGGGGGTAGGATACTGGCGGCGGGGCGGGGGAGGGGGACCACCCCGGGTCTAAAAAGCCAGGATGCAAGTGGGGAGACCACAAGCACGCGCGACACACACACACACACATACACACTCCTCTGTAAAGCCCTACTGCTTAGGTCCAATGCCAAGTGATGACAGAATTAAAGGAAGGAAGTGAAGAATGGCGACACTCAGGGTGGCGCGAAGGCCTAGAGTTGCTGGAAACATTTGGAAAAGGGCAGGGGATGCTTCAGAAATTGCGAAAGTGAGAAAGTCCCAGACATTTCCCCTTCCCCAAGGCTGGATTCTCCTGTCAGCACACAGGGTCGACTTCTTTTTGGTGGGGCTTGAGAAAAGGGGAGGATGGCTAGAACTGAGTTTGCCCCTCCCAGTGCCCTCCCAGGCCTGGCCCAGGGCCCAGAAGCCACCCCCCTTTAGCTCAGCTTCCAGAGGCTGCCAGGCCAGGAGCGGACTTGCCAAAGGACTCTGGGGGAGCAGCACGACAGGCGAAGAGCATCACACTGGCTTGGGCCAGCCGGTGCTCACGTCTTCTCCGATGACACACCCCCAGTTAACCCCTTCCCCTGACACTACTGACAGTCCTGTATAGACAGTACTTTGCCTCCATCCTTCCCACTATCCTACAGAGTCCATCGATTAAAACACTAGTTGATTTCTGTCTGATTAAAAAAGAAAGAAAGAAAGAAAGAAAGAAAGAAAGAAAGAAAGAAAAAAAAAAAAAAGAAAAAGAAAGAGACAGACAGACAGAAAGTGCTACAACTCTCCTCACGAGTAGCCAGAGCAAAGAAAGTCGGTCTGCAGGCATCTCTCTCTGTAGTTGCCATGAGTTTTGAAATGCGAAGCTCCCAAGCAAAAAGGGGGACCAGAACCCAAAGGGCGCGGGTCGCCCCACTCCCTCCCCACCCCAGCCCCTCTCACCTCCTTAAGTTCTTTGGCTACGTCCTTCAGATCGCCCAGGACTAATTCCAGATCCTCCACTATGATCTTGATCTGCTCCTTCACCTTGGTTTTGGAGGCTGCCGGAGGTCCCTCGGCTGCGGAGGACGAGGAGGGGTTCCCCTTGGACTTGGCTGACATTCTTCGGGGGGGAGACTAGCGAGCCAGGTCAGGTCAGGACAGGCGAGCAAGCAGAGGCTGCTGCGCGCCCGGGTCCCTGGCGCTGCTCCGGCCGCTCCCACCCCAGTCCCCCCACATATCGGCTGCTCGGAGGGCAAAGGCGGGTGGCTGTGCGGTGCGCTCGGCCGGGCGGCCGCACTGTGGTGCTGCCATCAACTCCCGGAGACCAGGCGCTCTCGGCGCGGGGCTGCAGACGGGCAAGCAGCGCGCCTGCGCCTCCTCCCGCCACCGCCGCCGCCGCCGCCGCCGCCTGCCGCTCGCGCGCACACTCGCGGGTGGAGAGGGGCCGCGCGGCGCAGCCGGGGGGTGTCAGCTGCACCGCCCGGGGTCCATCCCGCCAGGGTTTCTCCCAGACCTCCTTGGAGTCATGGTGCCGGGGGACAAGTTCCCGAGCTGTCCACCCTTACATCCTCATTCCGAAAGGTCCCTATCACCGTAGCTTCCAGCTGCGGGTCAAGGCTCCTTCAGCTTCGCCCTCCAGCAAAGACCTGGCTCCATTCATAAGGGACCATAGTGTGAGCAGAAGCTGGAGTCCGAGTCTGTAAAGTGACCCTAAATGTTTATCCAGGACCGAGCGACATCCAGAGACTTCCAATCACTCCACTGGTGACCTGCGAGTTGAACGGACTTCTGCAGAGGGTCTTGGTGCAGCTAGGACTGCTCAACACCTTGGAATCTTCAAAATCGACTAATGTGCTTGGAAGTGGTAGGCTAATATTGCTGAATCTACAAAGCCAGTAGCAGATTTTTTAATGCCCTGGCATCAGAAATCCCCCTTGTGACTGTCTGAGTCATCTTGGTTGTGTTTTTTATCTATGCGAATTCACCCCCCCACACCCTCTTTTCATGGCCTATGGGCATGTTTTTAATGGAGAACATCACCAGAAAGAGTGTAATAAGAGTTTACCTCCAATTTCTCTTCTTTAAATGCTTTTGTCTCCCACATCTTGTGCTTCTAAACAAATAGGAAACAACTTTAAGATTGTTGAGGCAAAGATACCTAGAAAAGAGAATTAATAGGTTGCTTTCAGCCCACTCTCAGGAGGTAGCTGCCATCTCATTAGCTCCCGTTTTAATTTCGTTAGCAGCAAACTCTACAGGCTGTTAACTGCTGACCTGGCAGACTGGCTCTACTCTCCTAGTTGAAACTCCTCTAGGGGCATTCCTTTTAGAGGCAGCTCATCTGTGGCCTGCCTTAGCTAGGTCCCAGCTCTTGCTTCTTACACTTCAGGTCTGGAGAACATGCTCCTGAACCTAAAGAAATCCTGACAGCTCCCTTCTTCCCGGTTCCTGGGCGTTTAATGACCAGTCTTCCAGTGAACAGTTCCTCTCTGCATAGCTGTATGTGAAATGTGATTGGAGGAATAAAGAGAACACTCGAGAGCATAGACATTACAAAATGGTATCAAACCAGTGGGGCATCATTAAACAAACAAACAATTAAGATGGGTAGCAGCTAATAGTATCAGAATAATAAAATGGTAAATGATAAAAGAGTCAGTTTGCAAAGTAGATACAGAGTGTTTGGAAGTGTTAACTAACCTGCTGAAGCTCCCTAAGGAGGGAAAATAGTTTCCCTCCTTTCCTTTATCTTTTTGGATTCTTTATGAAGCCATAACAGGAAAACTAGTTCCATCTGGTTTACAAACACTACTCCTGAAATATCCAAGTCACCCATGCTCTGATTTCATCTCTGAAGAAAATAGATGTTAGAGATGACAGGATCTAATGACCATATAGACGTGAATTTTTCAGTCTTGGTAGTGACTAAAAAAGCCCAAGAACTCAAAACAAAATGATCTTAGAGAAGGATAATGAAAAAGAGGAGAAGTTGTGATTTCCCTACACATGATGAAATAACTCTGAAAATACGTGTGTTAGGCCACTGGAATCATTCCCTAAAGAATGATCAGGAACAGCCCAAATCTGCCATCGTAATATTCATTGCTGCTGCTGAGCCAAGCTACTGCAGTTCAAAATAAAATCACTGTGGCTCTGAAGCACATTCTTGAATTCCCCATCACACCTTTTCTCAGATAATGACCCTGGATATATCTCTATATATAATCCAGCAATCAAAAAACGAAAAGGGGAGGAGAAGAGAGGAGAGGAGGGGAGGGGAAGGGAAGGGAGAGGAGGAAAAGGAGGGAAGGGGAGGGGAGGAGAGGGGAGGGGAGGGGAGGGGAGGGCAGAGGAGAGGAGAATGAAATTGCTTTAGTATTAGAGCAGGAAAGCCTAGGGCTACTAAGACTATTTCTCTTCAATCTCTTACATAGTTTCTCCGCAAAACTGACTTTGGTCACTGGAAACTGTGAGCCTTTATCTTCACCACTTTGCCACTGTAACCAGAAGAGGTCATCACAGCAAGTTCTGGACACACTCGGCAATCCACTGGTACTAGGATATGTTTATAGTACACAAACTATTATGTTCAGGCTTTTCTTACCATGTCACTCATTTGTATGACATGATTTTCCAGTAGATGGCAGTAAAATGAGTTTCTTTTTAATTTTTTAAGTGTATATACTAATTTTCTGATAGATGGAAATAACAGACTTCTAAAAAGCACCACTGTTCTCAAATGTCACACAGAGAATGATGCCACATGATATTAGACTTTAAATGCACAAAGGCTCTTGTATAGGAGGAGTCTGTGTGGTATTCCTATGATGATGAGTCTGGCTGCAGCTCTAAACACCCATATAGCTCTCTCCCTGGGAAGTGATTTAGCTTCAACAAGGAATTCTATAACAATTTAGCAAAATTTCATATACCCTTCTTTACCAAAACAACCATTTATCTCACTCAGTCTTTAATACACCCCGATATTTTTAGCAAATACCTGGAAGTTCTTCTCAAGTCTCAGAGTCTTTTATTCAGATGTAAATGATCTGTCTCTAAGGAAGGTAATAAACTAAATGGTTGACACCTATTCTTTTATTTTATAATTTAACTTTTTATACATGTTACTCTCAGTTCCCTCTCCCTCCCCTTCTCCCCCTACCCCTTAATCCTCCAAAACCCCCACCCTACTCCATCCCCATCTGCTCCCCAGGGAAGGTAAGGCCTTCTGTGAGGGATTTTCAGAGTGTGTTATATCATTCCAGGCAGGGCCTAGGCCCTCCCCCATGTGTCCAGACTGAGAGAGCAGCCCATCTGGAATGGGCTCCCAGAGTCTATTTGTATGCCAGGAATAAATACTGCTCTACTCTCCAAGGTCCCACAGATTGCTGAGGCCTCTTCTCTGACACCCAGGTTTGGGGCAGGGGCTTTTTGTATGAACCAGTCCCCTGCTGGTCTCTCAGTCATCAGTCTGGGGTCCATGCATTCCTCCATGTTTAGGTCAGCTGCCTCTGTGGGTTTTACCAGCCTGATCTTGATTCCTTTGTTCATCAATCTTCTTTGCAACTGGGTTTCAGGAGTTCAGTTTGGTTTTTAGCTGTGGGTGTCTGCCTTTGCTTCCATCAGCCACTGGATGAGGGTTCATGTTTGTCTTTTTTGTGACTGGGTTACCTCACTCAGGATGGTTTCTTCTAGTACCTTCCATTTGCCTGCAAATTTCAGGATTCGATTATTTTTTTCTGCTGAATAGTACTCCATTATGTAAATGTACCACATTTTCTCTATCCACTCTTCAGTTGAGGGTCATCTAGGTTGCTTCCAGGTTCTGGCTATTACAAATAATGCTACTATGAGCATAGTTGAACAGATGTCCTTATTGTATGAGGGTACATCTTTTGGGTATATGCCTTAGAGTGAAATTGCTGGATCTTGTGGTAGACTGATTTCCATTTTCCTGAGGAATCTCCATACATATCTCCAAAGTGGCTGCACAAGTTGGCATTCCCACCAGCAGTGGAGGAGTGTTCCCCTTTCTCAACATCCTCTCCAGCATAGAATGTCATTGATGTTTTGATTTTAGCCGTTCTGATGAGAGTGAGATGGTATCTCACAGTTGTTTTCATTTGCATTTCCCTGATGGCTAAGGATAATCTTGATTGTTGTAGTCTCTCAAATTTGTGAGAACAGCGATTTTATACTGTTTAAAGCCACCTACTCTGTGAAAGATTTATTTATTTATTTATTTATTTATTTATTTATTTATGTGTGTGTGTGTTAACTGAAACTACCCAAACCAAATGTGGCTCAGCCCTCGAGAATTTTAGAATTACATGAAAATGGTGTTTTGGAAGAAACTAGATGTGTCTCCCAATATCATATGTAATCATATTGCGGTGCAGATCAAAGGAAAATTAAGCAAAACACACATTGCATGGCATGAAATCAAAAGAAAATGGTCTGTGTTCTTTCTAGGCCTTCAAATGTAAATATAAATGACACATTATTCAGAGACGAATGTTACTCTAAAATCACAGTAGAAAATAGTCAAATAATGCAAATGTATTAATTTGGCATACAACAATAACTGTACAAGATTTGTTATTAATCTTAGAAATGCCTTCAGATCTCATGCAGTACAAATTCATTATTTCTACTGACATAGAAATCTATTTAGTAGAAATGAAGTCATCAATTCAAAGACACAGAATATACAAATGATCAAAATCAGAACTGCCAATATTTGGTCAAACAATGGTTTTTACACTGATATAAATAGATAAAAAGGGCAGTAAATTTCAGTAACTGAAAAAGTTCAAAACAGTGTTGATAGTAAGGCATCAAAAAAAAAAACCATCAACAAAGACTTCTTTCCATTTTAAATACACCCTGAATCTCCAGTACTTTGAAATCTTAAGCAAAAAAGAAAAAAAAAGTAGCCACTAATACTAGAGGTTCTACAAAAGTTACAGAAAGAGCTTCCAAATCCATACACAGAAATCAATATTTGTGTATGTAGACTTATATATCGTACCCAGAAAATTTTAGTAAATACTTGGAAGTGTATATAGTTTATATATGTATATGATGGTTAATTCTCTAAGCATTGAATTATCACCATAATGTTTCAAAATCACAGTGTGTGTGTGTGAGTGTGTGTGGTGTATCTAAGTAAATATAAATGATGGGAATGTGTAAAATATTTTAGTAGCTACCATTGATTTAGTTAGATTATAACTTCACATTTCCACTTTTTAAAAGCATTTTGTTTTAATTCTGTCAGATTGCTACACAATATCCCTTTGCATACTTAAGATGGTTTGGCATTTCTTGCCAAACCTATTTTGATTAAAATCATTTTCAATATAGTCTTTATTTGTAAAAGCCCTATTAG